TTTGAAAAACTCCCAACCAGCATGTTCAATTCTTTTGATGCAAACTAATAGATATATCATTATTCGATTGTTAACGTGATTCCTGAAAGCTCCATCGATACCATGATCACATGTGTGTTGTTGGTCCATCTCAAGTACTTATGCAATGGAACCCAATTCCTACCAATAAAATCAAACCTTTTACACCCAAACTTAAAGGATTTTTTTTATATTAATTGTTTTATCAGTTTATAATCTTTTTAGCAGCGCTTTGATTATTACCAGCAAAACTATTTCGTTTTACGCTAAATACTTATGAAAGCACCGACTTATAAAAATACTTTCGTCACTATCATTACATGAAAATTCATTAATAATGCTTTAAATCTTATTATTCTTTCGCCAAATATGTTTATGTATGGAATTGACAAAGTTAACGTTTGTTGATGCATATGATGATCATGGTTTAGGGTATGTTTGTTAGCAGTTTAATGAGCTTAATAAGACTCACAGTTTAACCACGTCAGTTACACATGGTTGTTTTAGTATTGGTTTAATAATATAGAAAGCTACTTATGCAATAAGCTTCTAAAGTGGAGCTTTATGCAAAAAACCAAGTTTTTTTTTTCAAACATGTATCTCTCAATTAAAAAAAAATGTTACTTCCATTTATTGAAAAAAAACTTTTCAAACAAAAAACATCTCAATCTATAAAGACAGATTAATTTACACAACCAACTTTATTCATACAAAACGTAATGAAAAATCAACCAAGCAACCTTGACTCTTGTTTGTTTTTAGTTTTTGATAAATGATATAAATGTGCTATAAAATAACTCTTTTAAAGCATGTTTTAAACTATGTTGCTCTGCCACTGGCTTCATGACAATATGTTATGTTACTTTGCATTTTTATGAACTTGTAAGTATTAAAAACCACTCAATAAAGGTTTTTATGTATTATAAGTATATGTTGTGTGTGGATTTATTGTTCAATAATATCATGTTCGATATTATTATGTATATAAATCTTAGTATTTTCTTTAACGGCACAAAAACTTCAGGACTGACTTCGTTCATTAGTCGTCTAATAGCATGGTAACTTGTATCTATTTGTTTTAAAATAATTACTCGATTTTGCTTATGAGAATTTTTTTAATTATTAGCTAAATTTCGGATTATATGTACCATACTAAGAAAAAAAAGGAAAGTTAAAATATACCCAACAAACTTTCTCGTTTTGAATGGTTTAGTCCATAAATTGTCTTTTTGAATAAAAAATCATTAAACTTTCTCATTTTGAATAATTAAATCTTTGAACTAATTTTTTTGAATAAAAAGATCCAGCGCTTTAGCGCCTAATGAGAAAGTGAATAGCCCGGTTATGGTTCCTGACGCCAGAATCTTATTAAACTTTCACATTTTGAATGATTAACACCTTGAATTTTTTTAAAGAAGTAAATAAACCATAGAACTTTATGTAACTTTTTTTGGGTTAAAATGATGTAGGTAATCAGTTTTTAAAGTGCAATGAAAAATATGTTCAGGAAAATGAGAAAGTTTAATGGTTTTTTATTCAAAAAGAGAAAGTTTGATGGTTTTTTTCATTCAAAAAAATAGTTCAGGGACTTAATTATTTAAAATGAGAAAGTTTAATGATTTTTTCATTAAAAAAAACAGTTTAGAGACTAAATCATTCAAAATGGAAAAGTTTGTTGGGTTTTTTAAAACTTTTTTTATTATACTACAACAAAATTGTGTTTGCATGACGCCCAAAAAATTAACTGTTCTAATAAATCGTTTTATAGGACTTCATTTATAAGAACAAAAAATAAAATGTATTATCTAAAGGTGTTGTGATACGTTTATAATCTCTTTTAGGGGTCTTAACAAGTTTTTTAGAACATTTTTAATACAGAACGTCCCATTAGCTATTTTTAGGACACTATTTGAAAAAGTGTCTTATAAAAACAAGTCTCCTATAAAAAATGAGTTTATAGGACATTTTTTTATATAAAATTGCTAATGTGATGTTTTGTATTAAAAGTGTCATAAAAAACTTGTTAAGATGTCCAAAAGCGTTATATCAAGTTATTACAATGCCTTCAGATAGGACACTTTGTATTTTAATCTTAATTATAAATTAAGTCTTATCAAACGGTCTGTTATGATGCTTTGTATTTTAGTCTTATAAAGTAGTTTATTAGAACACTTATAAATTGATGGAGTCCTATAAATTCAATTATGTTGTAATATAATGAATAAAGCCAAGAAACTGATAAATTTAGTCCGAAGGTTTGGCTAAAGATGAAAGTTTTTCTATTATTATACAGCTCAAACATAATTCAAATAACGTTTTAATAAGTTTTATGAGCTCTTTTTCATATTTTTCCGATAGATGTACAAACTCAAATATCTCAATAAAACCTAGAGTAATTCCTTTAAAGAAATACAAATCTAAATGAAGATCACACTAAAACAAAATTGATTTTATAGGTCGAATAAAATGAAAAAGTGTCCTAAAAAAATACTTTATAAGATCAAACCAAAAAGCGTTACAATAAGTTTATAGGACGTTTATAGGCGTTTTAACAAGTTTTTTTTACGACGCTTTTAAAATAAATTGTCCTATTTGCTATTTTATAAAACACTTTTGAGAAGTGTCTAATAAACTTATCTTTCGTATAAAATAGTTAATATGACACTTTATTTTAAAAGCGTCTTAATAAATGTGTTATATCATCTAAAAACGACTTATAAACTTATTGTAACATTTTTTAAATTGGACGTTTTTTTAGTTTGGTCCTATAAACTTGTGTCCTATAAAGTATTTTTTAGGACTTTTTTTTCATTTTAGGCGTCCTATAAAATCATTTTGTTATAGTGTCGATATCATAAAACCTTAAAGTCTAAATTAATCCCAAAATCAAAACCCAAAAACCTAAATCAAACAAAGACCTAAACCAAATGGAGATGGAGATGGAGATGGAGATGGAGATAGACATAGGGGTGTCACAAAAAACCGAAACCGAATAAACCATCCAAACCGAATGAATTTTGGGTTATTCGATTACGGTTTATTCGGTTTCAGTTAAATCGGTTCAGTTAACCAAATTAGGTTTCTAATATGGTTCGGTGTTCAGTTAACTTTTTATCTTTTCAGTTAAACTGAATAAGATAGATATGTATATCTATACTATATTATAAAACATTTGACAAAAACTCTTAAAAACCATTTTTTATGCATGGAGTGTTGTTTATTGATGCATATAGTGTTTTTGGTAAACAGTCGCCCGGGCCTGCTTTTTACATATCTCTCGTTATATCTTCAAAGCAGATTGAATCGGACAAAAGTGGAGTGTTGGAGTTACTTAAAATTCAAGATTACAAGTAAATTATGCGTAAGTACAACTTATTAAAGCTTTTGAATTCATGTAACTAACTGCAGATAAACATAATCAAACAAAGGATAAACATCTCATTTTAAATATAAAAAATCTAAAATATAA